CTATGCACACGAAATAATCAAATTTTCATTTGCAAGAAAAACTAATTAAGAACACGTTAATTAAGAATTTTTGCAGTTTCATTTTCAGCTTTCTACTTGTATTTCTATTTATCCATTTAAACTACGAAATGCATATAGATTTGCAATCTCTATTCAATAGATCCTGGCACCGATTCGAACAATATTTAATTTTTGCCGAATTTGAAATTCGAATTAATTCATGATCCTTTGTAGCTATATCTATTTAATTGGAATATCAACATTCTTCCTGTATATATTTTATAGTGTTTGTACTTCAAAATGCAATTATTGCAAACAATTGTATCATACATGCTATACAAATAAAGAAATACTGCATGTAAATAATGCATATAAAGTTCTATGCTTCATCACAAATAAAGCAGAACCTGCCTAAATCGATATGGCAGGATGTGATATGAAAATGGCTTGGAAGTCAGGTGACCTCCGAAACATTGGACACGAAAAACCGTTGGATGTATGTATCTATTCTAGTTATTTAATGCTGTAATTTATTCTATAACTTATTCGTAGTACTTTTTTTATTCAAATCATTATATAGGCTACATGAATTGAACCTCAGACCTGAACGTAAAAATCATGAAAAATCATTAAAAATGTTATGATTTATTGCATCTGTGCTAATAATACAGAGAGGTTAGTAGCCATAGATGAATGAAAGTGACAATCTATCGTGCATATAATTTATTTAGAAATATTCAACGACTCAAACAGAAGAAAGAACAAAAAATAAGAATATATTTCATCAAATAATTATTAGTTTATAACATATTCTAAGATAACCAGATACAACTGAATGTATCCGCAACGATTAAAATAAAAAGGAAAGCGAAGACATAATACATGAGATCTTAACAGAGAATTATAAAATATTGAAATCCAGTTTGTTCGATTTTTCCTACATTTTGTCAAATGACTGTGGATGGTACTAACAGCAACGAACAAGTTATTCTTGTAACAGGTGGTTATGATCATACTATCAAAATATGGCAACCACACACAGGGGTTTGTCAACGTACTGCAGAACATACAGATTCGGTAATTCTCACATATATATATATATATATATATATATATATATATATATATTTTATGTAAAACTTAATACTTTTCTTCTAAAATTTTATCATTTTTAGCAAGTCAATGCCTTAGACATAACTCCAGACAAATATTTAATAGCTGCTGCCGGATATCAACATATAAGGATGTATGACTTAGTTTCAAACAATCCAAATCCAATCATTAATTATGAAGGAGTATCAAAGAATATTACAGGCTTGGGATTTCAGGTATTTATCATTATATTTTGACCATGTACCATGGTGTACAAGTTTCAAGTTTTTCAAGTTTATTTTTATGGTAGTATAGCAACATTTATTATAAAATTATTAATATAATTTATCATATTTAGGAGGAGGGTAAATGGATGTATACTGGAGGAGAAGACTGTTCAGCAAGAATCTGGGATCTCAGGCAAATACAAATAGGATTTAGATACCATGTTAATTGTTTACTACAAAAATATAAGAATAATAAATAAGTAATGGTGATAACGATAATGGTAACAATGGGTCATAATAACAGGAACAATAACAATGTTGTAGATCAAGCAGCTTTCAATGCCAAAGAATATTTCAAGTGTCAGCTCCTGTAAACTGTGTTTGTCTGCATCCAAATCAAGCAGAACTTATTGTTGGTGATCAAAGTGGTGTTATACATTTATGGGATCTACGTTCAGATCATAATGAGCAACTGGTACGAAATGAGAATAGTTGTTTTTTTTTATAGTAATTTTTTTTATAGCAATGTACTGACTTCAATTGCACATGTACTTATTCAAACAATTGCTTTGTATGTATAGATACCAGAGGCTGAAGCGTCTGTGCAAGATGTTGCGATTGACCAAGATGGTACATATATGGCAGCAGTAAATAACAAAGGCCACTGCTACATTTGGACACTTACTGGGGGTGTAGGTGATGAACCTACCCGTCTTAATCCTCGTCACAAACTTGCAGCACACAAACGTTATGCACTTCGATGCAAATTTAGCCCTGATTCTACGTAAGTATAACTCATTAAATACATAACAAAATGTAATTAAGATATGATTAAACAATCATGTAATATCATGTGTCATTTATTGTGATTCATGGTCTATTTTGTTCAGACTTTTAGTGACTACGTCTGCTGACCAAACTGCGCGTGTTTGGAAAACCACAGATTTTTCGGAGGTACAAATACTTCAACATGAGGCAAAACGATGGGTCTGGGATGCTGCATTTAGTGCAGATTCACAATACATATTTACTGGTAACAACATATTTTCTTTTTTATATTTTATTATCATGTTTCATGGATTTAATTTCAACAATTTCCTTTAATTTAGCTTCATCCGATGGTGTTGCAAGATTATGGAATGTATCAACAGGAGCAGTAGAACGAGAATATCAGGGTCATCAAAAAGCAGTTACTGCTCTTGCATTTCGTGACGAGGTACTTTCTGCTTCTTAAATGAATTGTACATTTGTTTAAATTTTTGAATAAAATATTGTTTTCATGAACACAATATTTTTGAATAATAAAAAATATCGTTTTGGCTTGTAATTTATATTAAATTATGTAATTCGTGCTTTGTTGTCTTTTTTTTTATTTGTGCCTTTTTTCCCCGCTATTTTTCCAATTACTATTTCGATTTTATTATGTACGATCTTACACAATATAACCATTCCCATTTGAGATCTTAAAATAAATTTGCACATTCTCAAGCGTATACGTAAATCACAACATGACTTTTAAGTATCTACATAACATTAATTTTATCTTTCGATATGATAATAAGTATGATAACGATAAGATAAAACTGTAATTACAATCTGGGAAATAAAACAGAAGAAAAAATAATTTTCTTAAGATTCCAATTTAGGAAAATAATATATATATTTTCCATTTAACCACTGGAATCTTCATTCTTTTAGTTTATCCTTCATAATTATAGTTTAAGTACTTTAAATTAAAGGCAATTTTTCTACTTCACCCATTTCTGTAAAAGTTTCGTCATCCATTGTATAACTTAACATGAACTTTAATGATACTGGTTCCTAGAAAATAGATCACATCAAAATTATTATTCGAAATACAAAAGAAATAATTTCATTGTCTTACCTTTGTAGGATTTGCAATTAGCATAATTTGAGTAATTGCTGATGGTGGTAAGAATGGATTGTGAGCAGGCAGTCCTGTTCCAGAAGGTGGCTGAAGTCTACATTTACATTTCTGAAAGCAAAATATTGTCAAGATTTTCAAATATTATAATTCAATCCATTGAATTATAATAGTTAACTAGTTGCATTAAGAATAACAATAATGAATCGCAAATTAAATAAATATTTAAAACATACTTTTGGCACCACTGCTTGAAACAAGTAATCGGTAAGTGGCTTCGAATTCTTACTCATTGTCGTAATTACTACAACAAACACATCTTCCCTTGGATTATCCCGAGCAAAATGGAGTACAACGGATATTCCGTTTTTCTCTTCGATTACTGTCATAGGTGGATTAATACCTATCGAACCAAGAATTTTTTTAAATCGCATATATTTTATTAGGTATCCGACTAGTTTACTATAGTTTTAATAGTTTACTACATCGCACTTAATCTTCAAAAATACTTTAAATAAAAATACTACACTTATAAAGAGAATTAAACAAAGAACTTATAAAGAGAAATAAACAAAGAACGAAAGTTACCTGGTTTAATATCTTGAAGGCTGATATTAATGTCCGTCAATGATTTAATCTCAAGTTCTGGAATAACTGAGTTTTCCGTTGATGGTGCTACTGAAATGGCATCCCATGCGCTTGATCGGTTTGCTTTCTCATTCATGTTACATTCGCTATTGTTTTGAGAATGTGTATCATCATGAGATGGAACATTATCGTTTGACTTAAAACAAATATCAGACACTTTGTCGTTTTTTACACTTGTCTCCAATAGATTAGAAAAGTGTGAAGAACTGCCACTACGGGGGAAGGTTGTTGAAACGTAACATTCTGGTAGAGGTTTGATATTTGGTGGACGATTTATACTTTGTTTACTATGAGGATTAAAAATAAAAAACAAAAAAAAAACGGCGTAACTGTATATAATGAAACTGTGTAAAAAATATGATAACTACGTTTTACCAACCTTCCTGACTTCAAACTTGAATTCGGTACTATGCCTGATAAACTTTGTTTAAGTAAAGTCTCTCCCAATTCGTTCAATTCCTCCAGTGCTTTTGCTTTACTGTCAATTTTCTTTTCAGATGTGTTGATTAATTCATCTGAAAATGGAACGTTACTCACCATTTGTTCGTTTATTTAATTGGTCAAATTCATTACTAAAAATATTTGACTTTTTCAATAAATCAGCGCTATTCGATCGACAGAGCATAGGTATCAGGCATTTTATGTTCACGGACCTTTTTTATTTTTAGGTAAAACATTGAGTGGCTGCATAACTGAATCAGTCATTAAGAGATTTGCGTCAGAAACTGAAGAAATTTTGGACTTTTCGGACTTTCCTAATGAACTGAAGATATCTCCTAAAACTTCCATATCTGATTGATGATTTGTCATCATTGCATTGTAACTTGCATTTACACCATCGCTTTCAAGAGAAATATTCTCCGTTGGAGAAGATAAATCTAATAAATACGGACTATTGTCGGAGTCTGTTTTAGGCTTTGAGTCCGCTTTAGGCTTTACACATTTACCATGGACTGTCACAGCAGTATACTTCTCAAATACTTGTTCCAATTCATCACTTGCAGCAAGTACATCACCTAACATGGATTGTTTAATTTTACTTAAAATTAACTTCTTATGAAATATATATATTTAGTTATAATATTAATTTATTACAACTAAATGAGATTAGTATTAATAACTCATTAAATTAAAGAATTTTGGTAAAGTACTTACCAAGCATTCCTTCATTATCTTGATAAGTTTCATTCGCTAATCTAAGCACAGTGGGTTTTAATCGTTCACAAGCTTGATATAACTCTTTCATTAATTCAAGATCTTCCGTACTAGTTTCATTACAATTATATGAATCTAACATTTCTGATAATAACTTTGCATTATTATGAACAGATTCCAACTCCATTATCCTACGCGAGTTTAATTGTACTCTTCTTTCATCCTACAAAATAGTAATTAATATATCTTGCAGAATTCTATAGTATTTCAAATATTGTTTACTTACCTCTCTCACCATAGTTTTAATTAATCTATTTGCAGCTTGCAAGTCATCAGGATTTTTACTTCGTAATAATTTTTGCAATAACTTGGATTTCTCTTCATCGTCAAATATTGTACTTTTAGCTTTCAAAGTTTTCAATCCCTCATCTTGGGTATTATTTAGAGACATGGAATTATCCTAAATATACATACAATTTCCATATTTAAAAAAAAAATAAACAAAAGAAATCTGAATTATCTGTTAAAAATAACATATAAAATTTACCTCTATACCCTGTTTCCTTAACATTTCATAAGCTTCTTTAATTTTTAATTCCTTTGGATATTCTCTTGTCCATGTATGTAACAATTGTAATACCTTTTGACGCACCATGGCTGGTGTTTTGTCACCTAAATACTTTGGCGAAACTAGACGAATCATTTCATTTAAAAAACGAAATTTACCCACTTCTGCATGAAAAGATGACCCACATCTTCTCATACATGTATCCAATAACTGTAAAAAAATGAAGAACTAAAAACATTATACTTTTTCATTAAATTTATATTTATTCAATATATATGTTGATTTACTAATCAGAGATTATCTTTTAATTTATGTTTATTTTCAAAAAATATCATTATCAATTGTTAAACAACAAGCAATAAATGAAACAATAAAAATAAACTGATTTTTGCTTCATGTATGTATATATATCTATACATATCTTTTCTTTGAAATAAAGCAATGATGTAAGTTTAAAATTAAATTCATTATTAAACAGAAATTGGACAAAGAAACTTACAGCAAGAGCTTGAAGTGCTTCAGTCTCATTAGATGATTGAATACGTAATGCTAATAATTTAGTGCCGATTTGAATACCTTCTGATTCTTTGATAAGCATCACACAGAACGCTTCAGTCGCAGCTATATCAGGGTTTTGATTTTGTGGATTTGTTACCCTTTCTACAAAAAGAAAAGGAAAATATATTCAACAGCCTAACTAAAATGGACAAAATTTTCTTGATTATAAATATTTATAGACGGATGAATTTACAAATGAACATATCGAGTTTCAACTTACGTATCAGGGCTTCTAAACTTGTAGTAACAACATCCATTTCTACAGTTTCCTTTAAATTTCTTCAAATTCACACGTTTTAGGTTACATGTGTTCATTTGACAGCCAATACGAACAAAACTTTTAAAGATACCATTTTGATTTTTTCGTCGCAAACCAGGCAATATCCTTCAAATTAAATGTAATGTTCTTTGATAAAAAAAAGATTACACATTTACAATTGGTATCTTTTATATTTTAATTTCTCTACTGTGGTTACGTTAAAACATTAAAAAAAACTTTTGAGGCAAACAGCTGTTTGCAATGTAATTCACCGTAGAATTCTATTCGTGGTTCTTCTAAAACTGACATGAGAGGCGCTATAATAAATGTTGCTTTATCGCGCGCAATGTTAAAAATGAAAAGAAATTTTATTTAATATCTCGATTTTGTTGTCAAAAAAAAAAAAATATATATATATATACAGCGAAGAAGAGATTAAAAATATTTACAATAATAAAAACGAAATGTAACATTACAAATTCTTCATACATGTAACAATAGTTTTATCGTATTTCTAAATAATTTAACAGTTGGTTGACTTTCAGTTTATATATTTTTTTTCTTTCTTTAAAATAAACAACAAACAATAAAATATAAGTTTAATAATAATGATTATTTAAGTTCTATAATTTTATTTTTTTGTAATACAATTATAATTCTATTAAATATTAGTTTAAAAAAAAATAGAATTAAACCTACAAAAAAAGAAAAAAAAATAAACGTATTACATTCATTTATTTGTGAAGTATAATGAAGTAAATAACGTGGAAAAATTTTTCTTATAATAAAATGTTATTATCTAGCGTGAGAAAGAGAACAAGAGAGAGATTATATTTATTTTAACGATTTAGATTTCTAAATTTCATCTGAAGTTCAAAACGTCGATTTGTTCTTACACCCTTCAAAATAGCTCTGTTCTGTTCTTTGTTTCTGTAATAAAAAAAATATACAAAAAATATTAGCATATTATCCTACACTTCATCGTTTTTATAATTTTTATAACTTTACTTTGTCGAATGTAGTAAAGTATTATTCTTCTTTCTTAAAACATGCTCAACAGCTTCGTGTTTTCTTATTTTGAATCCAAATCGATTGTAAGAATTTTCATTCAACTTCTTAGATAGCTGATTTTCTCCCTGTGAATTCAATCTTTCCTTCTCTGAATTGTACTTTTTCTTGAATGCGACTAAAATATAATATATTTAAATATATTTAAAAATATATATATATGTGTATATGTAAAACTTATTTACGAATATGAATATATTACTCATTTCAGTATGTCTGTCTTTCACTCGTTTTTTTGCATCAACAATCGATTCTGACTTGGCAAACAATTTTTTATGAATTTTAGCAAAATTTGGAACTTTCTTCGTTGTAGAGGGCATTGAATCTATAATAGATGCCAGATATTTATATTCTTTCATTATATATTTCAATTGATCTATAATGTTGCATAATAATAAAGAAGTATCTTAAATGAATAATAATAATAATAATAAAGAAGTCTCTTAAGAATATTCTTATAATCTAATAATAATAAAGTCTCTTAAAAATGTTCTTTATAATATATTGATAAATTATCTACAATTTTGATGTGAGACATGAATACAACACTTATATTAGTAAAAAATAATTTGCAATAAGGAGTAAATAAATTAATAGCAGGAATAATTTTACCTTTAATGGAATTTGATTTCATACGAATTGGTGACCCTAAAATATTCTTTTTTGAACTATTTTTAGGCGTGAGAGTCGCAAGATTATTAATTTGCTTTTTTTCATTGTAACTTGTACGAGGTGGAGAATTATATTCGTAATTTTTATCTGACAAACGAGTTGCAAAACGTACTCTAGAATTCTTGATCGTTACCCTTTGATCAAAATTTTCTTTTTTGGCATTTCGTTCTTCGTGCAACCTTTTCCGTAAATTTGGAGTTTTAGGCTCAACAAGTTCATAGGTAGCATCTTTTTTCTTTACTTCCCGTTGATTTTCTTCTACCGTTAGTGTAATATTTGTTTGACTCTTGTTGAACTCAGAAGTTGTATTATTATTGAATGACGTTCTTTTTCTATCATCATGTTCTTTTTCTTTGGCATCATTAAGTGTTTCTTTGTCTTTTGGTGTAGAAGACAGAACAGGGGTAAAAGATACTGCATTTGCATTACCAAATTGATGCACTGTAACTATTTTATCATGCGGAGATTTTTCGTGAAAAAGGATTTCTTTACTCTTCTTACGATATGTAGTCTTTTTTTTATTATTGAATTTTAATGATTCTGGCGAATGATTAAATAAGGTATTAAATACTTTGGGATGGACGTTTATATTGCTATTTCTAAATTGATCATTTATACGTATACTTATCACAGATGATGATACAGAAGATGAAGATTTTATAATATTAGAAAGTCTTTGCAATAATACCATAGGTTTTTTTAACATAAATGTATTTTTTATTAGAATATCATTTGTATGACATTCATTCACAAATGTATTTTCATTTTTATTTAATTGTGACCTTCTGTTATTAGGTAGTTTTCTTAAGGCATACTTCATGATCAAAGATGTACTATTATAATGTTATATACTTTGATTATTATCAGACATACGTAATTTCAATTGGAATTTTTTACTGTAAAACAATCTGTTATTTTCTTTTATCTCGAAAAAGATAATGTACAAAAAGATAAATGTGTATATAAATTTAATAATTCTGTAACATGTAAATTGTTCTTAGTTCTTCTTGATTTGTAGTTTGATAATTTTTTCTTCTAAAACTTCTATTTGTATTTAAATTAATACAAAAAGAATATATTTGTTCAGTAAATTCTTTTACACATTTATTATCTGAAATCACAATTAAACAAAATTATCATATAATGATTAAATATTTGATAAATTACTACCATATAATAATTTATTTAACTTCTTTTATTTATGGGACAATTTTCAATTCTATAGATCAATGTACATATTATATATTATGTATAATTGTACTTCTAATTATTATGTTTCCTTTTTTACTTTTTGCAGAATCTTCTTTAACGTTTAATCAATTTTTTGTTGTTTAATTTTCATTATATGCTTATTGATAGATAATTGTACTTTGTATTCCACAAATATTAAACTAATATTGAATTAATAAAATATATAAATTATTTGATGTTGAATAGCACAGGATATTAAATTGTTCTATAATAAATGAGACAACTAAAAACAAGGTGATATTATATACAAATATAAAGTAAAATTTGTTAATCTAAAGCTTTGTATCTATGTGTGCAAGTTCTTCAATTACGTAGAATTATCAACAGATGTTTTAAGAGTAATAAACATGATTTACAATAATTAATTATCTTTCCAATGTTTTAGATTTTTTAATATGCAGATATTAAAAATTAGAGATAAAATAAAGAAAGAATATTTCACTGTGAGCTTGCAATTTAATTTAATACAAACCCACAGAATTTTCAAATTTAATCTTTTAGCAAAAAATATCTTATAATAAAAGATGTTATTCATCATTTAATTCATTTTAACACTTAGTGATAGATACAATCACTTAATTTCCCATTTATTATTCACAACCTATAAATGTTTTGATATGTCTTAACAAAAAATGATCAATATTATTACAAACAAAAAAATTCGTTATTTTTTGAATACCATACATATTATGTGTAATCAAAACTGAATGTAATTTAAACATACCTTTTTGTTTTGAACATACCATACATATGCATTTATGTATTTCTGTTATTATTTTTTAAAAAATATGTGTAACGAATGTATTATGTAAATGATAATCATATAACAAAATTAAATATATAAGATTTGTGTTAATATTTGTTGATCGACAAACATTAATCAACCAATCAACGTAGAACGATATTACAAGCCTTTAATTATTATTTATAACTGGAAACTACATTAAATAATTAAACCAATTAATTTATTTAGTCATAATAAAACATGTTGAAAATTATATATCTTTTATACACATTATTAAATCCAAGAAAACAATTATTTTCGTTTTTAACACTAAACATTCATCTCTGTATTTAATTCGTTTGAATTCTCAAGTACTTACGTTATGTCATGAATGCAATAATGGTATAGACCTAGTATTTCACGAAATTTAGTTGAATTTCGTTGAAAAAAAATTAACGGTTCCGTTGTGCCCTCTATGATTTAAAAAGATGATACATGTGCACTTACCCATACCATATCTTGTTTATGATACGTACTAATAGTTCTCGAAAATTTTTGAATAATTATTTTGGATTATTACACTTGACTAAAATGATTATTTAAATTCTTATAATTAAAGTTTAACCTTACAGTGTTAGAATTACTTGAGTATTGAATACCTATAAAAATTATTTGAATATATCTATATTCATATAAATCAAATATTATATAATATTATAACTAAATTGAAAATGTCACTTATGTAAAAAAGTATAATTGATTTTTATAAAAATGTCAATTGATGTATGATTTTATTCCAAAACGACTAGATTTGCAATGTTTTAAATCTCTTTTTCTTTCTCGCTCCCGTCTTTCTTTCTTTCTCTTCTATCCTCACTCTCTAATATTTTATGATGTTTCTCGTGTGACATGATATAGAAATGTAATGTAATTATTGATATAATATAATATTATATAAAAAGTTTATAGATTTATTAATTTCAGTTTAAACAATTAAGAAAATTTTGTTATTATTTAATTAATATTTATCATTATTGTCTTTTATATTTTGTTTTTTATGCTACAAATATAATTTCAATATAATGATAAAGAAACGTTTCAATATTATTAGTATTGTTAAACTAGTTGTTAAATTGACATTAGCAATCGTCTTTTAGTCATAGATGTAATAATGGATTGATTGTGATGATTGATATTTTGAAATATATAGATAAAATTGAGAAAGGATGCATATACATATGTACATGCAAACACATATGTATATAAGTACATGTTATAAATATTTGATATATTATAAAAATTAATCAGATTATTTTCATTGTATCTTTATTACAGATGACAAATTATTATGCTTATATTTTTTTCTTTACTTACAAACAATACATTGCTTATTTACATATGTGTAACTATAAGTAATGAGTAATTATTTATGTAATATTTATGTAAAAAAGAAAGAAAAATCACGATAATTATGTCTTGCAAAATAATATTGAAAGATAATATTATTAATAATATTAAAAAATAATATTTTATTTGATGTTTTACTCGTTGTTAGTTACCACAAAATTTACTATTTCATACATGTATATGATTTAAATATTTTAAGTTCATTATATATATTTATATACAGAATATTATAAAAAATAATTTTCTTTTCTAATATTTTCATCAACATCATTTTGTTATAAAGTACAGGAAAGATATCAAATTGGGATATCTTTTAATTATCACATAAAAAGATGCATTAAACATGGTGGCAGTGCTAACAGAGAACATTATTTGATCTCTTGAAATATTGTTCATGTTAAAGCACCAAGTTACTTAAATATGATCTATTAAAAAATTTATTTACATATTGTTTCTTTCCTTTTTTAAAAATATAACATGCTTATATCATTGTTCGATTGCATATAATGAAAATACATTTATATTAAAATTTGTTATTTTTTTTCAAAAGCACATATTGCACAAATAGAGAATAAGTGAAATACGTATAAAATGATTCAATACTAACATACTTTTTTAGGTATGACTTGTATCGTTCTATATCTTACGCTGCGATAGCGTTCCCTTTTTCATGGAAATTTCTGTTAACACCACAGAATAACTATCGTGTTTGATTACAGATTAATATGTTTGTTAAATAAATATAGATTTTGCTTTATCATGTACTTGTGCACACAGCTACGTGATTAGGAAATACATATACTGTACTCTTATCCATTTTCCCTATTCTATAGAATAAGAAGTTAGCAGTAGACATATATTTAGAAAATTAATTATGGAGTGACGATGAACTTAAGCACACTTGTTAAAGATGATAGTAGTAGTAATAATATTGTTATCAACAACTGTATTCGAGCAAAAGACAAATATATTACACACATACATACAAACACACATTCATTCATTGAAATTTATGGAATTTACCCAAATTAGTATGTTTTATTGTGTAGTAATTTAATGTTAATTTTTGACGTGATATTAAAGAGGGAAATAGAAAAAATAAATATAATTTACACTTGAAACATGATAAAAAATTCAAGTGTTTTAAAAATAAAAAACCTAGCTCGAAAAAGTAGTTTTCTTTGAGAGCACAGAACAGTGAAATGATTGTTATACATTACTTCGTTTTTTTTCATAATAAAATTTAAAAAAAAAATTTTTTCTAATATTTTCATATTTTAATTAGTTAATAAAGATATTTACTGAAATAAAATACGTAGATATCACGTACTTTTTCGAACATTTGAGAAACAGCAATATTGATCAATGTGTTTGGCAAATTAATAAATATAGTCGTATAATGTGCGCATCAAACATATACCAAACATACGTCAACATAGTGAACAGACATCAAAGATGAGTACAATATTGGAGCTAAATTATGTATCTCGTTTCGATGGTGGTATCAAATGATCCGGTAACTCTGCAGGTAGATCATAACCTTCAAGTTTTACATTAATTAAATGCATTGCTAAGGCAAATTCATCAGAATCCAAAAATCCATCTTTGTCGATATCAGATAATTTCCAAATTCTACCAAGTACATTATTTGGTAATTTCGATTTTACCATTTCCGATTTTGCCGCTGAAAATATGATTTCAAAAAGATATTAAAAGCAGAAAATTAAAAAAAAATTAAAATATCATATAATGCAAAGATATATCGTATTAAACTATATTTTATATGTATTTAAGTTTCGATCGCTTTATTTAAAATAAAAACGTGTTATTAATTCGAATTAATTGAATTTCAAATGTAAGAATAATATATTATATGTACTAAGATCTTACCCGCTCCTGAAATTTTTCCATCACATGGACCAAGCTTTTCGAATATCAAATTATATTTATATCTTTCCTTATTAACAATCCATTCTGGTTCACCTGCACCAGCATCGATACCTTCTCCTCGTTTATATCCAAATGGACTCACTTGATCTTCCACACCTTCGAATGCACCACCTATCATATAAAATATTATGCATAAAATTTGTATCATATTACTTAAATAATACAGAAGACAATAAAAAGACTGACTTTCATTAAGAATTTTCTTTCAAAATAATGTGTGGAAAATGAATAAGTAATGAAGGAGACAGTAATCACATTTATCTCCAAGTATGTACTTGATGTTTTATCATACTGAATTAAATGGTTTTTCAGAAACGTTTATTTACTACAAAGTAGTTCATTTAATGAAACATTCTAGAAAACATCTATTTACTATAAAATTACTCGATTATACAAACTAAAAAAATTAATAAATAGAATATAAACATTTGTGTATTTGTATTTCTAGCCTAGAATATATTTTTATGATATATTTTTATTCACATACAGATTATACAAGTAAAAGATATAAATACAAAATGATACCTTTAACAAGTGAGTCTGATGTTGTGCTGACTTCTTCATGAGGGATCATGGCCATGAGTTGGGCAATGTCTTTAACAAGCATATTATCGACTACTTCTAATAACTTAGGTTTCAAAGAATTAAATTTACTAAAATCATGGTGAGCTAAGGATTCTTGCATTTTTTTCAAGTCTGGAAAATCGCCAGGCGATATTTGTTGTTCCCTTTGTATTTGATCATAAATTTGACCTAAATTTTTGATAAGTTCTTTCTTTCTAGTGTCTTTACCAAACATACTAGGCATATCTTTTCTTAAAGCACTGATTATATAAGCGTGTACCTGTAAGTCAATACGTAATTGAATTTTATCATTTCTTATAACAATTTAGTCGATATCGATCGATTAGTTCCGAGGTGCGGTAATCGATAAGTTATAATTTTTTTCTTTACCTTCGCTAATCGTGCGCGTTTAATCAAGTCATTGAGTTTCCTAAGTGCCGCATTTCTAGGCAATGATTGCATATCTCTGAATAAATCTTGTTCTTCGTCTTCAAATAACCTGAAAAGAAAGAAAAAATACAGAATAATAAAAGATACAAAGTTACGCTGTCTATTCTAGGAAAAATTATATTTAATGGTTTTGCGTAACAAGTAGAAAAACGTGACATAATAAAAAAAGTTGTATTTGTATGAAGTTGTATTTGTATGAAGTTGTATTTGTATTTGTAAGAATACTCACCTTTTATTTACATCATATCTCAAAGGCTGATCCCAAAATGAGCCAATATATACCCTAGCTACTTCAGGAGTTTGTAAAACTTTCCCTAAGGACCACATCAATGCTCCATATACTCTCATCAGCTGTTGATGATCAATCATATCAGCTTTATTGAGTACAATTCTAATTTTATCATCATGACCACGTAATGCTTCAATCAATCTTCTAAATTCATCAGAAATATCAAGCTTGTGCGCATCGAATAGTAAAATGATCCTGTCTACTCGCTCAGCAAACCATTCCATAACACCAGTAAAATCATAACCTCTGTCAACCTAATATGAAAAATATTGGCTTTTTATTAAATTTATAAGGTTGATTTGTTAATAAAAATTGACAAAATACATACCCTTTGTTTTTCGCCTGATAAAATACCAGGTGTATCAACTATAGATATGCCTTTTAAAACAGGAGATGCAACAGTGGAACATTGAAATCTATTGAGAAACGCATTCCCAAATTTGGAAAGAGGACGAAATTGTTTGTTTGGGTCAACAACTAAAGCATTCCCAGGGATCACACGTTCATTTTCATGATACATAACTGCAATGAAGCGATCTGTCGTTGGTTCAGGTCCGATTCTTATTCCAGGAAAGTCTCGTTCTAGCAAATACTTGATAAAGGTAGTTTTTCCAGTAGAGTATTGCCCAACCAAAAGGATCATGGGTTTTGCATCAAAGTCCGGATCATCAAGTTGAGGTGAATGAAAATCATGAAATTGGTAATGTTGCTCGAGTGGTAGCAATTTAGATTTGTATATTTTTTTAAGGCCGTCAGCAACATTTTCAAAGATATCCTGTTTACTACTATCGTCTCGACCTAACCAGCTAAACATTTCGTCAAAAGATGGTTCTGCAAATATAACAATATGCTATAATCATTATCTGTATTAGAAGCAGATATGTTCATGTTTTTGAACATTTTTTATTTGAAGAAATGAAAGATAAGATCATAATCTTGCTTAATTCGTATTTAATAATTCAGCTTTGACGTTCGTTCACAGCTTTGACGTAACAAATTACGGAAGTCGTTCTTTTTCTCCCTTCTGTTTCTGATAATTTAAATAAATTACAGATAGTTTTACGATCAAACGTTATGTGCATTACATGTATTGTATTACACATATTTATAATGAGACGAAACAAGAGAAGAAGAAAGTATGATGAAAATTTGGGAGGAGAGCATGAAATAAATCTAACCTCTCAATCTGATTCTAGTAAAATGCACAAGCAGTGACAAGCACGATCAAACACTGACACTATCATACGGCACGACGTTTGACAGCACGTACAACTTATACGTATTAGAACTGATTCACGTACTAAATTTTAGAAATGATTCGATCCTGAAGAACTTGGCAATTTAATTTTATTTTCGAAGCATAGACTGATCGATCGAAAGGAGAACCGTGTAATGATCGAACGCGTTGAACATAAGAAAACAACCGGCGACTACGCGCGACCACTCAACGGACACGTCACGAGCAATTCTATATCGATACGACTGCGCATCTCAGTACACCTCCTTCCATTCTCTAGTCTATTATCCATCTCTCTCTGTGTTTCTCTCTACTCTTCTATCTTTTTCCCTCAGCTACATATTTCTTCTATTCTTCTCTCTTTCTTTCTCTCCACCTTTTTCTTTTCCTATTCCTTCTTCTCTTTCTTTTTATCTATCTGCTTGTTGCGCTATTAGTACCTTTGCTTCTTTTTTTTTTTTCTTAATAAATGTTTCTGCTTCTTTTTCAATAGATGCTGTCCTATCAATAGGAAAAAATGTTACGGAAATATGTATCTATAAGGTAACTAACGTGTAACTAACTAATCAGTTTTGATCAATTAAATTGTCGCGAGTGGTTTGGAATTGATGAAACTCGAAATAAATGAATACGCACAGTGAAGTCGATTATTTTAAATAGAGTCGCAATCGATGAATTCAAACGCATAGAAGTTAATTCAACGTGATGTGATAACATAATTTCGGAGTTTTTCTGTTTTTTTTTTTTTTTTTACAGAAGTAAGCAGTCCTCTTTCTGCTGACTGTATCTGTGTGTTACTTGCGTAAGTGAGCACACGCATATTGCCTATGTAAGGGACACGCATGTGTTCAGCTTTATCTCGAAATGAGCGCACTGTTACGTGTCACTGTTAGTCGAGGTCGGTCATATTCCAGCTATGATACATTACATACATATTTGAACGTTCATTCGTTTGCTGATCCATCTATTCATTTATCTATAGAAAGAAACAATTGTAGATAAGAGAAAAGAAAGAGAAAAATTCGTAAGATGTAATCTCATTACTAGCGAATTATTTTTAATACTGAAGCACAATTTAGTACAGCGATGCATGCATATGAATAGAACAGTAGAATTGTATAAATTGAATACTATGGAAATATTATATATTCATTCATTTATTTATTTATAAAATAAAGTATATACGTAGTTACTGATGACACTCGGTAAAACATAATATAATCATTTTAAATGTAAGTATAATATACATTATATTTATATTCCATATATGTCTACATATATATCGATTGATACGAACTCGGTAACATTTAATCGACGCGTTCACGCATATCTTCCATTTGGGCATTTGAATTCAACGGAAAGAGTGCTTGGAATAATCGTTCTCGTATTGCGTAACCAGACATGCAAAACATTCAGTGTCATTTGTTGCGTAAGCAACGCGGACACATCCTGGTTAAACGATTTTGTGCCAATTTAGTAATCTTAACCAGCTTCGCTGGAATTAGAATTGATTCGTATGATACAGCACACTTTGTTCATGGCTGCATGCGCTATCACTATCATGCATGCGTATTAGACCGAAGCTTTTGGTTCTTCTTTTGCAAAATAGATCATCGAGTGTGAACAATGATAGATATTTTATGCATTAATTAGAGAAAATCACGTAAGTAGACATTCGGAATCCCAGTCGCTGGGAAGCACGTTTTCCCATAATTTTGCCAAGGTTTTTAGTAGACACGGTGTGCCACACTTTGGTATACTAATATGATGCGACGCTATCGATTCTGTATTATTTAGATACTTCAACTGTAAAAGAGTAAGAACAAAAAAATAAAGAAGAAGAAAGGAAATAAGAGAAAAAAGATTAGATGAAACAAACATTAGCAAGTAATAGTACCTTGATTTCGGTGTCTGCAGAATTAGACGCGGCGTGCAATTCAAAAATAATCGTCGAGCCATAATCGGGTTTAAGGTATTCATTCGTAAATCCCATCGTCCTTAATAAATTGACGAGAGTTATATCATGAGCGGAATAGAAATACGCTCGTCTTGCATCTTGGCCATTATTAAAAGCTTGTAGATGTTTCAAAATTTCTTTTAACAACGGGCCTGAAAAGAATGATCGCTTATACAAGATATACAATTACGATAAGTGGATTTGTTATATTATACTTATACCTCCGCGAAGTCGCTGTTGCAACGTGTTGCTCGTAAATATGGCTAAGCTACGGGCTGCGATCTCACGCATTTGCCAATTATAGTATTTGTTCGTCCATTCGGGTAGTTTTAAACCATTAAGTTCCTCGATTTCCAAAGTATTATACAAAAATTCAACATCTGTGATTGTCGAGATATTTTCTCCGGTATATTTGGAAAGTTCTTCGTAATATTTGGCTGATGGAGTTCCTAGACGTATGGATTCATTCCCGTACGCTTCTTTTAAAGCTCTCTCTAATCGCGGACAAGGAGCCTTAACTGCGATTATCTGAAAATTGAAACACGTACAGTTATTAGTTTGTAACATATCAGATACGCGGTTTAATTGAATTTTCAATATCGGAAGTGATTTGTTGACACACGCACACACACATATACGTACCTTATCCAAATGTCTGGGAGTGGAATGAACAGGAATAGGACGCCAAATTAAACCTGGGACAAATATTTCCTCGGTCGTTGGTGGATATAAAGCAGCTAGTAAAACTTGTGCCGACATTATGCACCGATCCGCGTAACTGCTTTCCGTCAAAGACAAATCGCTTTCGTATTTGTTGCCAATTACCGAACCATATTCGTTACGAATCCACTGGCCAATGTTGTACATTCGTGACATACCTTCCTGTACATAATATCGAATAATTATACAATTATATAGATATATACATTGACAATTTCTTTACGGAATAATGAAACATCGAGACGCGTGAGTTTTTCTGAATCGATCAAACGACGATAGAAATGAACGTTCGTCGATTTATAACGAGATCATTTTGAAACCTTAGTTAAAACTCCCCAGCCTCCTTGCCAATTGTAATCCCGATACGGATCGTTCGGATAAGTCGACGTAGGGGTGCGATCTCCATGTCGAAAAACCTGTCGAGTCATTAACAAGATTAATAGTCGCTAAGAGAAAGATACATATTTTACTGATTATTGCGTGTTAGAAAACCGATACATGCACTTACAAGTATCACCTGCCGCAAGGAAGTTCGATCGTCGGTTGGATCTACCGTGGATGCGAACGCCGCATAGGCAAATAGTATAGAACCGATTATAATAACCAGTACCAAAACCGTCACTCGAATATTCATGTTATTCAGTCGACGATTGTAACTTGGTCTCTGTCGGACGTGTTCACTCATAATATTACATACACATATCATGTGTGTAAGTGAGTTCGTCTCGTTCGTCGTTATCACTAGCTACATAAAAGTCATTCGCTCCGAAGCGGCGAGATTATATCTATTTCAGTACGGTCATTAAACAACTTGACTCAATCTTTTGTTGATTATGTTTGCCGTGATAACGTTACTTATGCTTACGATCCTTGTCCCCATAGCTTTCGTTTCATTGCGTCAGTGTTCGTTTTTCATCGTTACACACGGCAAATAGCAAATTCCTCTACTCTTGTTACGTACTATTCAAAAACAAAGTGATACGTACATACATTTCATTGTTAGAAGATAATTGTGTGCGCGTAGGAATTGAAGGAACGGAAACGATATCCTCGGGAGAGGAAATTAATATTCAAAGATGAGATATATACGAATCAATTACTATCGACGAAACGTAAGCAGTGACTTGGTAGATAGAAAGTCGATGACTACGCTTCTTGCAACAGCGTCTTAAGTGTGCGTATATCGGAACAAGCAGTATCGGTATGTTCCATGCTCCGTCATGAACATCGTATTTGACACTAGAGCGCGCTTGTATCGTTGATGGTAGAAAACACGATATGGAAGAGAATGTATGCACTTGAATAAGACTCATGAAATGGAACTACTGTAGCAATATGATTTTACGAGAGCAAAACTTCCCGGAATCACTATTGCATTGCCAAAATTTATTATCGATAAACTTCACTCTTTCGCATGGGGAGATCATGCAAAAGAGTTCTTCTCTCACTGTGGAAAAATTAAAGTATAAACGAGCATTCTCTAGATGTTCAGATTAATGTTCATCATGAAGAAATTTAATGCACATTTCCTGATCCAAGTGCAACTTTGAAATGATTCTTTAGTTATTTGAACTTTGCTTGCTAATTAGAATGTCCTTATTATGTTACATTATTAACATCAGCGGCAACGATAACGACAGTGGAGAACATTCATGTACCAATTTATTTACAATATCGTACTATTGTAAATAATATAACTAATACAGCATTGATATAATAATTTATAACATAACTAATATAACACTAATATAATAATATGATATAATTAATACAATGCTAATGTAAAAACACTACAAACACTAGTATTTTTGCCAAGTGATCGTTATCTTTGAATTCGTTCGTTTGCAATAAAATAAAGGGGGGGGGG